GCTCTGGCCCTTATTCGATTGTCACGGGACTCAAGAATCCCACGCTAGCTATTAACAGCTCCCAAACCAGTCTTTGAGGGTCCTACACTGATCTCGGAGGGCCCTTCAGTGGCGGTCAAGCGCCCACATTGACCGCTGAGAACCCACATTGACCTCATTTGAGGGCCCCTAAACCGGCCTCAAGGGCCCAGCCGGCGTCTGAGGGCCTCACACCGGCCTCTGGTGGCCTCATTTCTGTCTCTGGGGTCCCAAGACTAGCCTTTAGGTGCCTTTGAGGGCCCCGCACTGAATTCTGAAGACCCGATGCCGGCCTCTAAGGGTCCGCATCGGCCTCTGAGGGTCCACCTTGGCCTAAGGGTCCAACGCCGGCCCATGCCGGTCTTTTAGGGCCCCACACTGACCTCTAAGGGCCCATGCTGACCTGTAAGGACACGCATTAGTCTCTGAGGGCCTTGCACGGGATTCTGAAGACCTGATGCCGGCCTCTGAGGCCCATCTTGGTTTTTGAGGGTCTTCTGCTGGCCTCTGGGGTCCAACACCGGCCCATGCCGGCATTTTAGGGTCCCACACTGACCTCTGAGGGCCCATACTGGCCTGTAAGGACCCACATTAGCCTCTGATGGCCCAAGTCGGCATCTTAAGGTCTCATCCTGCCCTTTGCAGGCCCTGTACTGGTCTCTGAGGGCCTTAACCCTCGCAGGCCGGGGGGGGGGGGGGCGGGTGCTGCCCCTCCATAGGTTTTTTTGCGATAGCTCCGAACACGCCGGCGATAGAGAGCTGAAGCTTGGCATACCTGACCTTTGAATCAAACGGGATCTTTCGACACCAACCGCATTTTCGGGTCAGATCAGGTCACTGACCCATGTGGTCATAAGTGAACCTCTGCACGGTCTTCAGATGTCGCAACTTCGCAACGCCCTCACTGCCAGAGGAGATTTCACAGGGAAATGAACCTTGGAGGACCTAGTATCCAATAGGAGTCTCTCAACTTGTATAATGTATATCTCGGATTTTTCCTAAAGTTCATATGAGGTCAGGTCATTTTCGTGACCTCACCATTAGGTATAAGTCAATGGGGATAAACTGAAAACTTTTTCTGGCGCCGGGAACGATCGATCTCCAACTATCTCAAGCACACCGAATCGTGATTTCATGCACTCCTTGCAAGGTTCGATGCGTCACTTTTGCAATGTTGACCTTGCGCGACGTCATTTATGAAGTTATAAGGGTCTTATTAGTTTTTCGTCAATAACTAGGTACCGATCAAATTGAGCTAGCGAGTCGGGAAAGCCACCTATGGACTCAAGAAGACCTGCCGAATCGAATGATATGCGACATGACCTCCTTCGACCAATTTCGTGACCTGGGGACGCCGACCTGACCGTGACCCGAGGTGAACACCCTAAGTTTACCTCACCCAAACAAAAAGCATATCATTCGACGCGCCTGAGAGAGGCGAACACGATGCTGGCAAAATCGCGGCTCTGCGGCCATTTTTTTGCGAAGTTATTCACCAAAAACGGAACCGTGCCTTGAGGCACTTGACCTGACCTCAGAGGTCACCGGTTTTTGTTTGTTTTGTTGGGTTAGGCCCTTTCGGTCCAATGAGACCATTTCAGAGCCGGAAGGATGATAGGATATAGGGGGAGACATTGGTCTGGGCACTGGGCAGGCACCCTAGTGAGTCGCCGGGGCTGAGCCCGTCCAGAGGACAGGCCACCCAGCCCCAAGGCACTCACTGCACTCGGCTACGGGGTGCGCTCCCTCGGGAGCAGCGGTGCCGCTCCAAGGGAGCAGCCCGCATGAGATAAAGTTGCCTGTCCAGCCCGGAGGGGGGTGGCGGTGTGGAGGAGAAGGATTTCAGTATCCTGAGGATAGAAGCACGGAACGGTGTCAGAGGTCACCGGTTGACCTAGGACCATAAAATCGGGTATCGATCTCTGCGTCTCGTAACGGCGCACACGCTCGTTTTACCGCGACGCGCTAGCTCCACCTGGGGCGAAACAGCGAGGGGGGTCGTACCCGCCCCCCGCCCCCTCGGCCAGCGCGTATGTAGAAAACCTATAGGACCGGGCCGTGGAGGGTTAAACTGGCCTCTGAAGGCCCAGACCGTCTAAAAGTCCCACACCGGCCTCTGATAAGTGATAGTCAATCAGCCCAGTTGCAGTGGTCGCTGATATAAAACCTCTTAAAAACGTTATAGGCCTGGCTGAGCCTAGCTGGGCCGTTCATGCTGATTTTTATAGGTATATTGAAAAGACTCGCTTTGCACGTTTCACGCTTGCTCGTAATGAAAAAGTTGCTGGATGCCTCTGGAATTTGCATGGGTGCCAACGGCTGCGGAGGACAGGGGAACGCGTCCATCAGTTTGAGTTTATGGACGGGAGACTCCCTGAAATTTAAACCAATTTTTTTTTCTTTTTTTTTGTCTCGATTTTTTTTTTACCTCTGAGCATGTTTGCGAAAACAAAGTGGCCGAAATCCGAGGAGAAATCGGATTTTGGGGGTAGGTTAGGTTTTGGACCTCTGGGACCCTGGCCCCCCCACTTTTGAAAACGTTCCTACGCCTATGTTGTAGTCAGCCAAGATTCCTTTACGTAGTCAGCAGTTCTCATGCAGCTCTGCATTCTGAGAAGGGGGAATACTTCGAAATACTTCAAAAGTCGAGTGCTACCAAATTAATGAGTTCTTTGCTGCCACATTGCAATGTTGTCGGGCAAATTGTTGCGCGGTATAAGCCGGCTAGGAGCCAGCTGTAGACCGCATTTTCTGAAAAAGTAAGTGTATTTGTTACTTTTAGCATTCAATAGTAATATATTGGTGCCTTTCCTGTCGATTTTGCATGGACGTGGTCCTTATTTCGTATTTTTTAAGGAGGACTCTCATAAGTTGACTGCGTCATGAACGCCGCAACGTCCACTCACTGGTTATTTCAAGGTTATTTATTGAAATTTCCCCGCGTAATTTAAGGTATATTATGGTATAAGTGTTCACCGCTTAAAGATAGCCTCATTTTAAAACTAGTCATCCATTTACTGGCTGGAATATTATTATTGTAGCAGAGTGATAATAAATTGAAACCGTCTCGCATTATCTCTGTGATACTCGATCCTTATTCCTTAGTAATTATTCCAGTATAGGACAAGATATCTTTGAAGTTTTCAATGGATGAAACAGTGATATCTAAGACCTTTGCCTGTCAAAACACACATTTTCTAAAATCTTTAGTCAGAACTCAGAATCTACTTCTCCATGCTAAGTGATGTGGAAACCATCATAAAAATACTGAAATGGGCAATTATCTTCAATTTATCACAATTATACCAACATAATTGTCTTCTTGAAGAGAATTCTAGAAGTATTTCAAACAACAAAATAACGCAACAGACACCTCACCAGTGCGGCAACGAAGTGCAGTGGCAGAATTGTAACATTACAAAACACAAGAATTCAATAAAATAGAAATAAATAAATAAATATATATATATAGAAAATAAAATATGGCCTAATAAAAACTAAAACAACCTAACCTTACCTGACCTAACCTGACCTACCTACTGAGTTTTGCCTAGGTACCCAGGCAGGGATAAGGAAGCAGTTGCTCACTTGCATGAATAGATTGCAAGTTGCAAGCAATGGTAAGCCAAATATTAGATAGATGATCAACCTAGTTAACAATCACTTAGTCAAAGGATTAAGTCAGCTAATTTTATTTTTCACTAGATTGGCAGAATATTGAGCACTTGATTTAATAGCTCAGTGTTTATTTTGGACTGAGTTATTAAATGACCTATACATAAAATTTTGGAGCAGTTAGAATTAAAATTGTTTTGTAAATCCTTAACCAGAATTAATCACAATTATTGCTGTAATTAATCTCCAACAATAGGATCATTGTCTTCAGTGCACTTTATGATGAGGATTTCCACTGCAGTCCTTAAGTTCAGCCCCAGACTGCTGGGCATGGCAGCAGAGGTAGGTAACAGACTGCACCAGTCTGCAGCCAGGGGACATATCAGAACCAGCCAGCACCAGCCACTCTGACAATAAACACGAACCTATATAAAACAGTGGCAAGAAATGACACCAGTACCACCCATATTATGACTCATCTGCTTCAAAACAAAAATTATAGAAAGGAGTGAGCACTGGTCAGGACTATCCTGATCGGACTAACTGCTCTGGCTGCCACTTTTAGTTGTAATAATGGGCAGTTCTTGCAGCATTACATCAGGCTGATTTGATGATTTGCTGTCAGTACTTGGTCTGCCAAAATGCGTCTGTATGCTCAGAAGTCCTGAGTGACGCGCTCCAAGCGTCATTCAATGGCAAGGCAAGAGAACATCTTAATAGGCTATCACTAACAACCTGCTGAATTGAGTAGTTCAACACATTTTTTACACGTTTCTTTCTGTTTAATCACAGAGAATAAAGTGAATATTCACTTGGTAAATTCCGCTCGGGAGTTCGGCTTTCCCTGCGCCAAGTACCTACTCGGCACGAATCAAAGCCAACCTGGCCCCCATTTTGACGGTCAGCCATTGGCGAATGGGTCTGTGCCGCCCGATTGGTTAATGTCCTGTCACGTGTCTCAGGTCAATGCCCAGTCACGTGTCCAATTGCCGGCAGCGCTGGCCGGCGGCCGTTGCCGGTCACGCGCAGTGTGGGGCGCGGTGCAGGTGGATAGCTGCCCGTGCTCGTAGATCTGTGGTCGGGAGACGGCCGATTTTTCCATTGTGTGGCGGTAGTGAGGATAAGTGTTGGTGTGTGAACTGGCGACAGGATAGTCGGGATATATGAGGGGCGGTTAAGATTCACTTTTTCTAGCCCTCACGATGCTTATGCATTGTCTTAAAAGTCGCGGTGAGACGGCGACCGGTTATGTGCTAATCGCTCGATCCGTGAAGCTGCGGCCACTGCAGTGTGCTACGGCCGACGCGGCCCTCTTGTGACTGATAACTGCGAGTGGTGATGGTGACGCGACTCCCCCGGCCCGGCAGGCTCGCGCGCGGCTGCTGTTCCGGAGAGGATATGTCGTCCAAATACATCCTGCCCAACAACCAGCCGTTCTCGCGGCTCGACTGTGATGTGGCCTTCGGCGGACTGACGTCCAAGCAGAAGTTATACGCGCATCACATCGCGCAGGCCTCCTGGAAGGGCAGCCTGATCGTGCTGCTTCAGGTGAGCGCAGGGCCGGCCTCGACTGAGAAATGACTGACTGCGTTGGCTCCTGCCTTATTGGTCCGACATTCCCCTGGTTGCCAATAGGCTCGTGGTCCGTTCCCGACGTCCACCAGGATCTCGTTTGCGCTTTGCCCTGCCACCTCTCACCCCCCCTTCCCCACCTGACACCGGTCGGCGATGTGTTATGGACACCCCCTGCCCTCCCCCCTTCCCCCACGGCTCCCTTGCCGTGTGGTTTTTCAATCGTCCGAGTCTCCCTAGTCTTCGCTGTCTCCCGGATTTGTCTCCCCTCCACACCTCCCGGTTACAATGACTCCCGGACGGTGTCGTGTTTCAGAACCTCGCCCGACTCCCCGCTATCTGTCTCTCGGCTCTGCCCCTCCCCTCCCCCCCACTGACTCCCAGAAACGTGTCGTGTTTCAGACGTCTCCGGAGTCTCCACTGGCGTTTGTCCTGCTCCACCGAGTGTTCCGTCAACAGACCTGTGATGAACTGAAGGCGGTGGCGCTGGAAAAGTGCGGCTTCACCGAGGATGACTGGAAGGTCGGTCAATGATTAATTCACGACCAGTCGGTAAAACGTTGGTATCTGCTCTGTTGGTGGTGACGCCGAAAAAAAACTTCGATAAGTTAAAGTTCTGGGGCTGAATACGGGATGGGCTGTGAAAACACGCGATGTTTGCATAAGTTGCAACGTTATACTCCAGCCCTCGAACATGGCTAACGCACTAAGAACTCTGCTTTGAACAATTATTCTGGATTATTGGCACTGTGCGTTAGTGCATTATAATTATCGAACTATGCATTTTCGTTGGTGTGACTGCTACGCTGTCTACCTTTTCCGTATTATTAGTTATGGTTCACATATTTTTGTGAAAACATCTAACGATCTTCTGCCAGAACAGCAGACATGCTTAGTGACCGGCTCCCCACGTCCAGGCGTTCCTGGTGTACAGCAGCTCTATCTACTCCGATATGGGCAACTACCGCGACTTCGGCGACACTAAGAAGGTGCCAGGGGTGGCTCAGGAGAAGTTTGCCGCTCTGGTGCGCGCCTCGCGGGCCTACGAGACCGACAGCAAGGCCATGGAACGACTATTGGACGGCTGCCTGGCGCGACTCTACACACTGAACGACAGCGTGGCGCAGCTCGGTCTCGGGGACAAGGTGGGAACGAGGGAAGGTGCAGGGTGGAAGGGGATAGGGAGGAGGTAATGCTGGCGTGACTGGGAAAGGAGTGGTGATGTACCCCGTCTTGGCTTAAGTAATCTTCGTTTGTCATTTTTCCTTCTATCGCCAGCGGCACTGGTAGGGTATGTTGGACTTCTTTTTCGTCTCGTTATCTATGTATCCTGTCCAGTGTCCGCTGCCTATTGTTACTGTTCTATCCCGTCCCGTCCATACGTCCTATCTATTACGGACTGTGCGCTGTCTTCTGTCAAGCGTCCGCTGTCTACAGACCACGCCCGTGCTCACGCCTCCCGTCTCGCCACAGGGAGTAACTACGTACTTCTCCGCCAACTGCACCGAGGAAGACGCCGAGAAGGTCAAACAGTACATGAAGCACAAAAACCTGGAGCCCTACAACAACCGACTATTCAAGACGGTCGTCAATGGTGTTAACCATTACGAGGTGGGGATGATGTCGGATATTGGGCCATAATGGTTATCACTATGCTTTAAGTTTGCGCTGATTTACGTTATGCTTGTGTCATTTTTGACGGGATAGGTCGGTTATTGCTTCTTGCTCAATATCTGTTCCAAATATTAGAACGTCAATATGAGAGTACACTCAATATGTCAAATGTGTTCCAATAACAAATGCATCTTAGAGCAGACTATTATATATAACGTGGCTTGATGTGGTAATTTGGTATTCGTAAGTTGACCCCTTGGCCCGTCTCCTGCCGTCAGATTCGGTTGGCGTCTGTGCTTAGCGACAGTGACCCGGCGCTCACCAGCGGCCCCGAGGAGTTCCAGGGGGCCAAGTTCAGCGTCACGCGCGGCGACTACTCGCCGCTACTCGCCATGGTCGTGGAGGAACTCAAGGAGGCACGGTACGTCGTGGACGGAGACGCTCTGCACGATGGACAATGGCACGCACTGTGCTAGGAGATCTGTTAGACATGCGTTCGTGACCATCCAAGCGTGGTGTGCTATCAAACCAAGCTTTATCTTGTCCATTTAATGCGTCTTAGTTTGAGGATACCGATTTTCGTCATCTCACTGACATAGTGTCGCAGGAAACTGCATCATAGGATCTCCGTCCCGTGCGATGCATACCATCCCTCTGCTGCCCATTTGCGACAATCGGTGCTCGTTAAAGTGACCACTCCCCGGCTTTCCCACAGAAAGCACGCGGCCAACCCCGAGGAGGAAGGTATGCTCTCCGAGTACATCAAGAGCTTCACCAGTGGCTCTCTGGCGGCGCACAAGGACGGCAGTCGGCACTGGATCAAAAACAAGGGACCGGCCGTCGAAACGTGAGAGCTTTATCTGTCCGCCGCGCTCCAGAGAGCTCATCTCTCGAACTCGCTTCTAGTTCCTGTTGCGGAGGAGTGATAGTGTAATTTTTGTGATGAATGTTTTAGATCAGCTAAGTTGCCTGCATTTGCTTTTATTGCCAGATGTTTGTAAATTGGATCGATAGTCCATTACATTGTTTTACGTAGGTGTGCGATTCTCCGACAGTTGCGCTGTCACGGGCGGCATTTCCTTCTGCTACCTCTTCTACATGCAACTCATCACCGCTACATCACTGGACCGTCCCGTAACCGCCTTGTTCTCTCTCCCTTTCAGCTACATCGGCTTCATCGAGACGTACCGCGACCCGACCGGCATGCGCGCCGAGTGGGAGGGTTTCGCCGCCATGGTGAACGGTCCGATGAGCGAGAAGTTCGGCCGGTTGGTGAATGCCGCCGAGACCATCCTGCCCCGTCTGCCCTGGCCAGAGGTGAGAGCCGCGCCGCTGCTGTTGATAGTGGCTGCTTGCTACATGGGTGGAAGGGAAGAGCGCACGATGGAGTGTTTGGGCCAGGCAGTTCGCAATCTCGCAAAGAAGTTGAAATTCCTGCTTTTTTCGACCTTTGTCGTTGTGTAGTCAGTGGCAATCTTGACACGGCGACACTGACGTTTTTTGTTTGGTCGCCTCGATATACGGACGTGCTGGTCTCGCGAGGAGCGATGCATTGGTGAATGGCGGTGGATTGAAGGTTGAGGATCTGCCGCAGCTACTGTATGATAATATAGTCAGAAGAAGGAGGTGAGGGGTAAAGAGTAGTTGACAATTGTGATAAAGGTGTGCATATCAATTATTGTCATATTTGGAAAGGCGTAGGCGAGTAAGTAACCGAAAAGGAATTGATTTTCACATCAAAATGATTCATTGCTAGGTGTATGATGCAGAAGTCAACTCAGCAAGTAGCTTTTGCAGCCGTGCTCGATTTTGCTGACGTTGAAGTCAACGATAAAACGACATTGTGTTGCAGTTGTGTGGCGATACTCTGCTGTGTGGCGATATTCTGCCCCGCAATGCTTGGGACCGTAGGTGGTCATTCTAACCCCTTTTACCATTATCCACCTAGACGTACGAGAAGGACCGTTTCCTGAAGCCGGACTTCACCAGTCTGGACGTGCTGGCGTTCGCGGGGAGCGGCGTGCCGGCCGGCATCAACATTCCAAACTACGACGAGATTCGCCAGGAGGAGGGCTTCAAGAACGTCTCGCTGGGGAACGTCATCATGGCGGCGTACTCGGCAGCCGTGCTGCCCTTCCTGGGCACAGAGGACGCAGAGCTGATGCGACAGTACCGCACACAGGCCTTCGAGGTAAGTACGGGCTGATGCGACAGTACCGCATGCAGGCGTTCGAGGTAAGTACGGTGTGGTGAGGCAGAACCGCACGCAGGGCGTTTGAGGTAGGGGATAGTGGGGGCAGTACTTAACTGTTGGTGGGGCTTTGAGGGTGCGCTCGGGCGAAAAGAGTGATGATTTTCACGGGGTTCGCTACACATTCGTGGAGCTCAGCTGGTCCGTCACGGGCTTCGATTCTGTGGCTGGTGTTTTTTTTTTCTCACCGATCTGATCTTTCTGACCGATTTTCCGATGTTGACCATTATCTGTGCTCCGGTAGCAGTTCTGACCAGTGTCTATTTGTCTGACAGGTCCAGGTCGGCCTGCACGAGCTGTTTGGCCACGGCAGCGGTAAGCTGTTTCAGAAGGACAAGGATGGCAAACTCAACTACGACGCGGCTGTGGTGAAACACACTGAGACCAATGAACCGGTGAGTGGCAAAACACTTTAACGTAAAACACCGCTGCAAACATTGAGGGCGAGGGACAGGTGGAGATCACCAGCGGTGGTAGAGGGCGAAATGGTGAGACAGATTGTGGTACCCTGGGACGTGCGGTGCTGTTCTTATTCACGGAAATTGCCTACCGACTGACGAATGAAGGTCTTGCCTTCTATCATTCTATGCATGTAGAGTGTTGTGGCTCAGGGTCTCCGTCCAAGCCTAACGACGAAGCCATGTGGTGGGGTCTAATCGCCATTCTTTAATGCGAATCTTCAATGTAGTTTATTCGCTATGTCGGCCTATTAATTCACTCTTCACCGTGCTTCTTCCTATTCTCCCCAGATCTCGAGCTGCTACTCGCCGGGCGAGACGTACGACAGTATGTTTACCGACCTGGGCTCGTCATACGAGGAGTGTCGCGCAGAGTGTGTCGGACTGTACCTCTCCCTAGAGGAGGATGTCATGGAGTGAGTACTCGTCCACTCTCCCTCGGTGTCACGCACACTTAAACACGTTACACTTGAGTCTTGGACACTCGACTGGCTAGCTGGTCTGGTAGTAGCAGACCACTCACCGTTATCATGTGCTTCTACGCTTCTATGCTTCTAGCGTTTCTTTTGTAGTACTGTGAAGGTCGCCATTCACTGGTTAAGCGCGCATTTTTTTTTTTTGCAACAAGTTGCAACTTGCGATTTATGCAGCTATCTTACTAAGCATCGCTGTATTTTTGCTGCCTGATGGAACTAAGTGCGCCGGCCGGCCCAGTCTGACCCAACCTGACCCAACCTGACCCGACCTGACCTGACCTGACCTGACCTGGCGCCCGGTCCGGCCGGCAGCATCTTTTCGGTGGCCGAGTCGCTGCGGCCCACGCTCGTCTACGTCAACTGGCTCAGCCTGCTCTACAACGGGCTGGCCAAGGCGCTCGAGATGTACTCCACAGAGACCAAAAAGTTCATGCAGGTAGGCAGGCCGGGTCAGGTCGGGCCGGCCGGTGGGAGGGCGGGGCCCCTGGTCCCCGGTGCGGCGCGGTGACTGGCCCCGTCTGCAGGCTGTTTGACTGTCCGGGCGAACACGGACGGCTGGTGACATACGTCAACTGGGTGGATAACCTGTGGGACGGCTTCGCCAAGTGTCTGGAACAGTACGATACGGCCACTGGACGGTTCATGCAGGTCAGATGGGAGGATTATGCAATTTGCAGTTAAGGTGATTGTCTGGTCAGATGGAACGGTAATGCCAGTAAAGATGAGGTCAGGTCAGAGATGGAACTTGGAAAGGCCAAGTCAGTTAGAATGGGAGGGTCGGTTGAGGCGAGAGGAACAGATCAGACGGGAAGGTTTTCAGGTCGAATAGAAATAAGGATAAGATTTTAAACTAGATCGACATAGTCATTGTTTAATGTGCTTGTAGAAAACTGCATCTTATTTCCCCAGATCTACAGATCACAATTTACAGGGTCGATGCGGAACCCTGACTGTACCCTTACCCCCGCAGGCACACAGCAGAGCGCGGTACGTGATCCTGCGGGTTCTGCTGGAGCACGGCGAGGGCGTCGTTGACATCAAAGAGGTCAAGGACGCCGACGGCAAGCCCGACCTGCTGATGACCGTAGACAAGGAGAAGATCTACACCTCCGGCAAAAAGGCCATCGGCGACTTCCTGCGCAAACTCCAGGTAACGAATTATTCGGCAGATGTGAGCTCTCAAGCTTATCATTCTGAGTGCGCATATAATGCCCCGGAAAGGAGGGTTTTTCTATGACTACCTACCCGATATGATTATATCCAAAGTCGGTCTACGCGTGAGGTGTCATCCAGCCGTCTTGTCATGATTTTTTTGCTCCATATTTGTCGCATATGGATGCAAACGGCGTTTTCCTAGAACTCTGAGGCATCCATTCTCGCTCTTCTAGTATACCGAGCCATCTATCCCGGCAGTGTATCTCGGGAGGGCCGGTCCTTCCCGACTAACCCCCTACCCGTCTATCCGCCACCAGGTGTACAAGGCGACGGCGGACGTTCCGGCGGCGCGCGCCATGTTTGACCACTACTCGGAGGTGCCAGAGAGCGGGCCGCACCCGTTCGCCAACTGGATACCCATCATCCTGGAGAAGAAGCAGCCGCGCCGGTTCCTCGTGCAGGCGCACACAGAGCTCAAAGGTGCGTTACCGGGGGCCGGGGGACGGGTGGGGCTTGTACTATGCAATTCGCTTCCGTTCTTTCCCACTCAGACATTGTTGTGTTATTTTACCACTATTGGTAATGTTGCTGTTTTTCTGGCTTTTTTCGACATATTCTGCGATCATCATCAAACAGGCTATGCTACACGCTTAGCATTTTATTCTCGCTCATATTCCTCGCCTTCATTTCCGTTCCGTACAATATGTAAACAATATGTAATCGACCTTCATCACCGAGACATCATTCCACGATATTCACTGATCCTCTGTCTCCTCCGTCCCCATCTGACCCCGTATCTGACCGACCGACTCCTCCTCGCCCCAGTCTTTACTCTGTCCCTCATGACCCCGCATCTGACCGCCTGGCGTTTCACCACAGGGGAGGACGTGGCGCTGCACCAGTACGAGCCGTCAGCCGAGGGTCTGATCCAGTCGTTTGTGGCGCGCTTCCCGGACCCTGTGATCGAGGACCGGCTGTTGGAGCTCCACCAGAAGGACGCCGCCCACTTCCCCTGAACGGCCACATCCTCTCCGACCCGCCGCCGCCGCCCCCGTCCGCTGTGATGACCGTCCAATACACGGTCAGTCCAATCAGATGCTGCCGCTGTTTGTTGGTTGGCGAGAAGTGAGCAGGCATTTCTTCATCCCAAAATAGGCGTAGTTCTCTCGGAGCCGCTTGGTGTTTGCTAGTCCTGGAGTGAAGTGAAACGATGGAGGCATATGCTGGCTCCAATGCTCCTTGGCATGGGTTCTGTCTCGACGGCGGGTGGGCGGTCGCTTCAACACACGGGGTTCTACTCACACTACACTGGGCGGTCAGGTCTGTACAGTACACGAGCGGTAAGCTCCAGCTGTGCCGAGCGGCGGCTAGTGACCGGCCCGGCTGATATATATATAGGCTCTGTGACGCCCGCCTCTGAATCGGCGGACTCGCTCTCGCATACAGTCTCACACGCAGTCGCACACTAGCGCTCCCGATCGCACAAGGCCACATGCACGCACCCATACACGTCTCACAAAATCACTCGCAAGGAAGCACTCATCAGCTGCTGTAGCACTAAACATGAAGTTCAACGGATGCGCATTGCGTTCAGTTTAAGCGCCCGTGAGGCACCACACTTGCACTTAGCACACAATATCAGCTCCGCGCGGCGCTTTCATGTTCGCAACACACATAAGCGCCCATGAGGCACTTTTCTATGCTCTCAGAAGTCTGTGGTAATCAGACGCCTCCCCAGTTGACGCCGGCACACAATGTCTGGCGCCAACGGCGCGGTTCCCGCGCTTCTGAGCGGCGGCCTGTGACGGTGGGGGTGACTGGCGCCTCCCGGACGATGCTGCCGCGAGCCACCGCCGCTCTGGCGGCCGCGCGGGCAGTTATAGTTTGAGATGTAACCGGCAGATGGCAGACTACAGCGGCTGGTCTTCCTGGCTTTCCACTCCGTCGTCTGACGAAGAAGGGAACGAAGCGTCAGAACGATTTGTGAGTTATGCAGCTCCGAGGCCCCACACTCGTCTCCAAAGCTATCGAATCTTCACCCTCTCACGCCTCCCTCGTCGTGTATGCAATGCCCTGTACTCCCACCCTACTGTTCCGTCGGCGTTTTATCCTCTGTATCGTGCATGTTTTCTGTGACTGTAGCCACACTCACTAGCTCTCCGGCTGATGGGCCGGTGATAATACTGTCCCCTTGGCTGGTGTACCCCTTACCCATGCTGCCAGGGATCGCGTTTCCTCAATCGCTGGTAGGCCTTATACTGTCTCCTGTCGGTGTAGTTTCACCCATTACTTACCCCTCCGTCCGGTGTAGGCGTGTTTCCTCAGCCGGTCGTACAGCTCCTCCTGTTTGGGTGGCGGCATGCCGTACATGCTCGGCACGCCGGACTGTGGCCGGGACAGGGTGCCGGCGCCGCCCATCGTGCCGTTATCTGACAGGGAAAAGGGGTCGGTCAATTGGGGTTTGGTTTAAAACTGATGGCGACATGCTGGTAGGTTTTATGTAGCCTTAATCCCAACATAACTCCCAGAAATTACAAGGTACGTCACAAAACATTTGTATGCGCCATCTTCTCGGTCAGGCCTTTTGAAGCTATTTTCTCTATTCCACCTTAACACAATGGCTATGAGCCATTGCAGGAAATAGCAATGTGGCCCTCTCAACTCACAGCTTTTTGTTAGCTATACCACCGCCGCCGTTCCGTTTACTGACCTCTGACGAAGGCCTCGTTGTAGAAGTTGGGCATCTCCCAGGCCTCGTCCTCCTCGTCATAGTAGTGCGCGTAGTTGGAGTGGTGCGACGGAGCGATACTCTCGGCGTACGGGGTCGGCGCGCCGTAGTAGAAGTTCACCTGAACAGACAGGACACATCAGTCAGAGGATGTTGGAGACTAGAGCACCGGCTGAAGCAAGGGACGTCCGGCGAATCGTTCGTTGAATCCACTGCCGCCCCCTCTGAAATCCTGTTTTACGTTGCGAAGCCAATGTGTGCTCGTCGCTTGTCTGGGATACTCAACGTGGAAAATGAGGGCAAATGAGACGCTCATTGCGCTGTCAGAATTCCTTCAAAAAACCAGAGTAGCGATCGAACTGGAACCCCTGTGCCTGAGCACCTTAGTAGCGGCTCGGTCCCACCGGAGATGGGAATCCATCCTTTCCTCTCCTACCTGCGAGGCTGCGTCAGGCGGCGCCGTCATGGCCTTCTGTACGGCCTCCTGCTGCTTGTTCTTGCGGTTGGCGCGCGCGCAGATCATCCATACGAAGAGGACGCAGATGATGGCCAGCAGCACCAGACCGGCCACGCCGCTGGCGATGTACGCGAACTGCGACTTCTCGGCACACCGGTCACCTGCGAGAGGGAGGGCACGGGTTAGGTGCCAGTTCGGGCGCTGCGCCGACGCGGATGGTCAGCTCTAGTTGAGACAGGCGTACTAATTGGGAGCTAAGGCAAGCTGGGCATTGGGTTTAGCTGGTTCAAATTCAAAATAAGCCAAGGGAATGCAAGTTACATTCCCGAGCCCCTGAATCTCCGAGGTTCCCTCAGGGCCCGCCCGCTCACCGGTGAATGATCCGGTGCAGGCGCACTCGGGGTCGCCGGTGCGCTGGTTCTTGCTGCACACGCCGGCGTTGTCACAGAAGCCGTCGCAGCGGTCGGTGCAGTTGTAGCCGTCGCCGCGGAAGCCCAGCTTGCATTCGCAGCGGAACGAGTTGGCGGCGAGGTCGATCAGGCAGAGCGCGTTGGCGTCACACTTGCTGTCGCCGCCGCCGTCGTTACACGGGTTGGTGCACTGCTCGGCGCTGGTGGAGCCCGTCTGAGGGGAAGGGGAGGGGACGGTGAGGTTTAGACGCTGGTGGAGCCCGTCTGAGGGTGGGGAGGGGGAGCTGTGAGCTTTGGACGCTGGTGGAACCCGTCTGAGGGGAAGGGGAGGGTACGGTGAGCTTTGGGCGCTGTTGGAGGCTGGAGCCCGTCTAAGGGGAGGGGGAGCCGTGAGCTTTGAGTGCGAGTGGGGACGGAACCTGTCGCGTAGCGAAGAATGTTGTGGTGCGGAGGGGAGTTGCATTTGGACGGCTTGACAGGCGCGCCTTATATCAGCAATAACTGGACAATTGGGACCATTCTGCCAAATGGAATCGCTTATTATCCTAGCTACCGTTTTAAACATGGCTCGAAACGACCCTAATGTATCCATTTCTCGTTTTCTTTTATATCATTAATTAGAAGTTCATAAATTTAGTCTGCGGTTCGTTATGTAACGACCAAAAATCGCACTCCACCTCGCCCTCATAGTGCTGTAATCTAATAATCTACATAGCGGCGGGGTGGTCTGTTGCGGCGGATTGAATCCTCCGAACCCTGCAGGCAAGACACCACTTGTCGCTCGGGCTCAGTGGTCGGATTTGTCGGCGGTTTGCAGCCTATCCTTGATGATCCGCTGGGCGGTATGACCACCTGGCTCAGAGAGGCCCTCAGGTGGTGGAATGGGTGGCCCAGAGCGGCGGTAGGCGGGCCCAGAGCGGCGATAGAGATGGGCTCAGAGGCCAGAGCGATAGCTTGCATGGAATGCAGAGAAGCAAGAAGCGGGACCCCAGAATCACGGAAGAAATGGACGCAGAAAGGTGGTTGAATAGGCCCAGAGCGGCCAGGAGGACGGGGATCCAAAGCGATGCAGACAAAACCTTTTTGCTGAGCCGCGCCGGACGGGCTCAGCCGCTTACCGTGCTGGTAAATACAACCACAGTCGTAATGACTTCTGCTTCTGAATTAAATCCGATTCAGTACTTAACAGAACAATGTAGATTGTAGATGACTGCAATGAAAGTGACTTTGTTTTCACCCTCCATCGTATGATACACTCCTATTTAACCGTATGAGGGCGTGATAAATGCGATTTGTTCACGGCGGGCTGTCCCCACTAATCCAATATAACGTCCAGTTCAACGCAACAAGCTTCGCTTAGCGGAGACTCTGTCTTTGTGAATCCTTCCATACCTGTTGAGAGGTGATGTCAGGAGGACACCTGCTATATGGTCATTGGTGGTGTCCGGTGTCCGGTTATCCAGTTACCTGCTGAGTGGTGGTGTCGGGCGGACAGTTACCTGCTGAGTGGTGGTGTCCGGCGGACAGTTACCTGCTGATTGGTGGTGTCAGGTTATCCAGTTACCTGCTGAGTGGTGGTGTCGGGCGGACAGTTACCTGCTGAGTGGTGGTGTCCGGTGTCCGGTTATCCAGTTACCTGCTGAGTGGTGGTGTTAGGAGGACCTGCTGTATGGTCAGTGGTGGTGTCGGGTGTCCGGTTATCCAGTTACCTGCTGAGTGGTGGTGTCGGGCGGACAGTCGATGCAGCCCGTGGCCAATTGGTCCGGCTGGTAGGTGGCCAGCGGACAGACCTGGCACCGGTGGCCCTCGGTCGAGTTCAGGAACGAACCTGGGAATGGAGGTCCTTAGGTCAGTTTCGGCGGCTTGAGGTAAACTTGGATGGTATGGCTTATATCTTCTGTTCACATTCCGTGCCCAACAAACATTCATTAGCCGAGCTGTCTACGGTGGACACTGGACATGACCATGGCTACGATTGGGCACCATACAGCTTCACGACTGGCCGACACGACACCCCTGTCACGAACGCCCCTCCATGGCCAACGTCTCTTCCCGTTCGGTGATCCACTATCCACCTTGTAACACGGGCACACCACATAGCGCGCGACCAGAGTGAGGGTCCATTCCAGAGTCACCTTAACATTAGAACAACCGCGGACGACAGGGAAACCCGTCAGAATAACTCAATCCCTTGGCTAATATTTAAGCCCGTAAAGTGACACGGGCTTAAAACCTGGATTTACCAGAAACGTAGGCAAAATCCGTGGACATTGAACTTTCACCATGCTAAACAAACGCCATTAAAAAGACAGCTGGTGGACAGGGGCACGTTGGACATTGGCACTTTAGGATTTCAGTAAGCCCTCCCCAGCACTCCATGTCCCCGTCTCGCCCCGGTGACCGACCTGGCTGGCAGACGGGCAGCGAGCAGCTCTCTGCCGACGTGGCGCCTCCGCTCTCCGTGGTCGTACCCTCCGGACACGCAGTACACGTCTGCTGCGCCCCGGAGGCGCGGTACGTGCCCCGCGGACACGGCTGGCACGTGTTGTCCACCGCCAGCTGAAAGCCGCTCTCACACGCCTTGGTGCAGTTCTGTGGGTGGGGTGAGATAGATGTTAGGTCTCACCGCTTAGCACTGGTTCATTGCTCACCGTACACCAATCACCACTCACCACTTACATTCATATACTAAAGCGATAGTCATGTCGAAACATCGACACGAAAGCTCGGTCTTTTTTTCTGGTGCAAGAGAGCATGCTCATGGTTCGTGGTTCACCGAGTAATAATCCTGGATGAACAGCGCACGGACGGCTCATCCGCCGTAACCAGACGAGCATAGTTAGCCTCTACCAGTGTTCATCGCGAGGTCACCTGCATGTCTCTCAGTCAGTGAAGGCAAACCACTCCATCGATACAATGACACATAATTGCTCTCCTATTTGTCTGACATTAGCCCACAAGGCCGGCGCCGCTCCGTGCCCGGGCCGCTCCGTGCCCGCTCGGACGGGTCCGGTGGCGGCCGACTGACCTCGGCAGAGGTGCTCTCGGTGCCGCGCGTGGTCAGGCCGCGTTCACACTGGTAGCAGGAGAACTGGCCGGCGCGGCCCTGGTAGCGGCCGACGCCGCACGGCTTACAGAGCTGCAGAGCGCTGTCAAAGTACCGGCCGGCCTCGCACCGCTCTGCGGACGGAACGGGTCAGGTCAGCGGGGAGGTCACAGGGGTAGATAAAAAAGTCAGGGGAGCGGGTCAGGTCCGAGGAGAGTGAAGCAAATAAAGTCACAGGACGGTACAGCCTGGACATGGGCAGGGCGGGTCGGGCGATACAGTGGAGAAAGCAGGGGTCACTAGCCACATAGCTGGACGCTCGGGACAGACATGACCAGGTCCGGTTACATGGAAAGCAGGAAGGGATAGACAAGGTTATGGTAGGTGCAGCTCTGGGGAAGTTATGATCAAGTCAGATCAGGTCAAAGCCAAAGGAGGGTCAGACGAGGTCACACGTCTGGTGGCAACAGATGCCCAGCTGCGATTAGACCTTAGAGTAAATGTGACCCCATTGTGGTTCGATACGAACAGTAAAAGTATGCACAGACAACTTATGTCATCCTTATCGTCCCTACATATTCAGCCGCTACGCTTCCTGACAGTAACATGAAACCGCTTCCTCTTTGAGCCGTGTAGCAAATCTTTATGTTCGCGTTTGTTGCAAAGAATGCTCCCTCGCTGCTGTGATGGGCGCACTAAGTGCGGTGATTACCACCGCCAGCCGGTCGGGGCGGGCACGTGACCGACCGCTCGACACATCCGGGAAACCCATGGACCCTCCGCTAGCAGCCTGACCCGGTTCGTCCGGCTGGGAAAAAGCGTGCCGCGTCGTCACCGAACACAATGGCAGCGGCTGGGGCCTCTGCTGAAAAAGGACCCCTGGCGAGCGGACCGGTTACACCGGCCGGAGGCGCGGACGGAGGCGCGGTCCGGCGCGGCCGGGGTTACCACTGACCTTTACAGAGGTCGGCCGTCTGGGCGCCCCTCATCTGCGTGGTCGACTGCTTGCCGGCGATGTCCGGACACGGGATGCAGCTCGACTGGCCCAGGCCGCTCTGGTAGCTGCCGATGGCGCACTTGCGGCACGTGCGCGACTCCAGGTCGAAGTAGGTGCCGGCTGCGCAGGCCACTGGAGGCAGACGGTCAGGTCAGGTCAGATACATACCGGCACAGGCTACAGAGGGTCATGTTAGGATAGGGACCGGCCGTGCAGGTGGAACAGATGGCCAGGTCGGTCAGTTTGGATACCGGCCGCTCATGACAACTTAAAATTGCATTATTTTATTTTTACAGACTGCTCTGCAGTGTGACGTGCGCCTACACATCTGGCGTGCCTTATGCTTCTCTGGCCGTGAGCGGTCCGACCGGGGACCCGGTCCTAGCGTGTCAGATTGCGGTTAGCTGTGGACCAGCGCGTAACGGGGGCCATGGGAACACCGGCCCTGACAGGGACTACTGAACCGCGAACATTCAGAACAAATTGTCAGTGGCCCTGAACACGCAAACGTGACACTATGACGATATGAGATAAAAGGGCATATTATATCACGCTCTCCAGTGAACAATTATCCCTCTTCTACGTGTCATCTCTCCCCCTCTCTTCCTTTCCAAGTCCCTTCAGTGCCGATGTGTCTGACATGCTGCCTGTATACCACCACCAGTCACCACTCAAGGTTGGCTGGTTACCGGTACAGTCCAGACAGACGGGCTTTCTCCGCCGGGGCCCTTCTCGCCGAGCCAGGCGCGGCCTCCCCCTCCCCTCCATACACGATGCGTCAGTGCACGGTGTGACGCCCATTTGTGAGGCCCCGGTGATGTTCACTTACCACACGAACGGTCGACGAGCACCTTGCCCTCCTGACAGCGGTACTCGGTGTCGATCTGTACCGAGCCCGGGTCCGACTCCACATTGGGGAGCTGAGAGTTGACATCGAACTGGCCCTGAAGAGACACAGAGGGAGGTGTTGACAAGATATTGCACAAATGTCATACATTCAGGCAGATTAGTCATGTCATGAATTTGATTGTTCGTGTATTCGTGGTGGTGGCCGGCGCCGGCCGGTGTATAACGCGTATTACTGGGACAGTCCGCTCAGTCCGGCGGACTGTGCGGAGGTGAACGGCCGGTCCTGCGGTCTCGGACGCTGTACTAAGCTGCTGTATGTGGTTGACCGGTGACGCCGGTCGTTGGGGCCCTCGACTGATCGACCCAGACCCCAGCCGGTCGCCACTCAGGCCACCGTACCGCGCCGGCTGGAGTCGAGCCGGCTTGGACTGGGATGGGTCGGCAGCTCGTTACCCAGCTACATCGGTGGTCAGGCTTTACATTGCCGCCGCCATTGCATGTGTACGAGCCGGCCATTGAGGCAGCGGCGGCGGTCTGTGGTGGCGGCCGTGTCCGACCCAGTTCCGCGTGCATGGGTGTCCGGCAGCACTGACCCAGTGCGCCGCCAAGTCGGTCAGCGAAGAAATGGGCCGGCACGGCGGAAAGGCGCCACGCTGGGAGCCGGCCGGGTCCCCACAGCGGCGGCAATCGCTAACAACCCGGCGTCGAACGAAAGGCGAACACAATATGGGAACGGCGGCTGGAGGAGCCGGGGGCGAGTCGTGGCTGAAACCGAAAACCGCCCAATGATGTGATGTGACTTGGGTGGTTGTGTGTCATTCAATCCGACGAATGAAGTCCATTCGCACGGAGTAATTGTAGGCAGCCCGCTTTGCTTCGGTGGTGGGTACTTACGCCATCGAGGATGATGTCTTTGATGAGCTTCTGCACGTCGGCAACCTGCTTGGTGTCTTCGTGTGTGACGGAATCGCTGAAACAGAGGGAAAAGAACTGTCAGTTGGTCCACTACTGGCGGTCAGAAATCGCTGAAACTGGGGACGGACAGCCGTCAGTGGCCATAAAGCCGGCGCTCTCACGGCCAAAATCACTGACACGCGGAAGACGACTTTCAATTGGCGACTGCCACTCTCATTTCTAAAATGGGACCGTGTGTATCGCTAAAAAGTCTACTTATAGAACCAGTGAGTAAGACAAAATCTTATTCGGAAGTCGTGCCATGGAGAAAATCCTGCAGTGCCGCTCAGGTCACGAACGTTACTCTGCAATGCTTGAATGGGGTGGAGCAGACGCGTGTACTAGCCCTGCTCACAGTGTAAGGCGAGCGTTCTAGCCCGCTTGCAGTCTCGAGTAAGGCAAATGTAATGACTCGCTCGCAGCCTTAGGCTGGGGGGATCCATGTAATCGCAAGGCACCTCGCAGTTGCGATCAAACGTAAGTTGAATCGGAACAGATATTGGAGGGATCCATCACATCGTAGGCTAAGTAGATACGCAAGTTGTATCGCAAATGGTGAAGATACGAACTAACTTTACGAATCTTCTCGGTCGATCGGAAGGCCGATCGTAGCGAAGCTTTACCTCTTTCTCAAGAGAAAAATATAAGAAATTTTCAAAATTTTCACAAAACCGAAATATATGTTAAACAAATATGGTTGATGAACACGTGTGCAAAATTTGAAGTCGATTTCTTCAAAAATGGCTGCGCTAGAGCGTTTTAAATTTACACGTTGAAAACGGTCACTTTCACGTCCTTTTTGTAATTATTATTTTTTTTAATTTTGAAATTTAAAAAGTGTTTTAAGCAATTTTTCGCGTTAATTGCGAAAATCTGACCAAAACATGTATCGCACCATCAATGATCCGATACGCCATCAGAGGCCGCGCCGCGGACAGGTGGGCGCGGCGATACCTAGACCGCGTGGGGGTTACACTGGTGTTCGGGAAGGGCTATGTCAACGCGAGGCAGGCCGCGGGGGAGCCGGTTGCGGCGCCGGTCCGTATTTGTCGGCGCCTAGCAGTGCAGCGGTGCGTTTATGGCGGAGGGAAGGGAAGCGGTGTAGTGTCGGCAAGGCCGCACACAGGAGAGGGCACACGGGCCTCCCCCCATTCGAGTTGGGGTCCCTAATCTTTAGACCGCCGAAGACCATGTAAAATGAACTGAAATGATGATTAAAAAGACCGGGAGGGCCCATCTCGTTCCCCAGCAGGCCCATACGAGTCCATAAATGCCCAGTAGCGCAGCCAGGGGTATTGTGGTGAAATTTCAATGGCCCTCAAAAGACCTCAAAGGGCCCACAGATGGGGTCACCGGGTCCTCAGATGGTCTCGAAGGGCCCTCGGTTAGCGTCAAATGGCCCTCATCTGGTGTCAAAGGGCCCTCAGATGGCCAAATGAAGGGCCACAAGATGGCCTCAAAGGGCCCTCAGATGGGTTCAAAGGGCTCTCAGCCAACGTTAAACCTACCTCAGAAGACCTTAAAGGGCGTCAAAGGGCCCTAAACCTGCGTCAGAGGGCCCTGAGCTCGCGTCAAACGACCCTCCGAAGGCCTTAAAGAGTCCTTAGCTTGTGTCAGAGGGCCCCCAGCTGGTGTCAGTGAGCCCTCCTCAGCTGGCGCCAAAAGTCCATCTGAAGGCCTCAAACGGTCGTCAGCTGGAGTACAACGGTCCTCAGATGCCGTCACGCGGCCCTCAAAAGCCTCAAGGAGCCCTTATAAGGTCTCAAAGGGCCCTCATTTGGCCTCAAAAGGCCCTCCGCTAGCGTTAACCGACTTCAGAAGGCCTTAAAGGGCCCTTATCTGGTGTCAGAGGGCCCCCAACTAGTGTCAGAGGGCCCCCCGGCCCTCAGTTGGCGCAAAATGGCCATCAGAAGGCCTCAAACGGTCCGTAACTGGAGTCAAACCGCAACGGTCCTCAGGTGGCGTCAAGCGGCCCTCAAAAAGCCTCAAAGGCCGCTTAAAAGGCAGCAAAGGGCCCTAATATGACCCCAAAGGGTCCTCTGCTGGCGTCAAACGGACCTCAGAAGGTCTCAAAGGGCGTCAAAGGGCCCTGAGCTCGTGTCAAATATAAAAGCGCCCTTAGCTGGTGTCAGGAGGCCCCCAGTTGGTGTCAGCGTGCCCTCAGCTGGTGTCAGAGAGCCCTCAGTTGGCATCTACTGGCCATCAGAAGGCCCCAAACGGTCCTCAGATGGCGTCCAACGGTCCTCAGCTGACGTTAAGAGGCCCTCAAAAAGGCCTCAAAGACCCCTCGGCTGCTGAAGAGGCCCTTAGCCTCAAAGGAAACTCAAGAGACGTTAAACGGCCCTAAAAAAGGCTTGAAAGGGCCCTCTGCTGGTGGCAAAGGGCTCGCATATGACATCAATAACAGCTTTGTCAAAAACGGACCTGAGAGACCTTGCCGGTCCCTGGTTATAAGGGACTCCTGTCTCTTGCAGTAACCTGAGTGGCCCACGTTTACTGAGGGGCCCCTGGTTATTGAAGGAGTCCCTGGTTACTGGAAGGACCCCTGGTTATCAGAGGGTTCCCTGGTCACCTGGTGGGTCCCTGATCAATTGAAACCTCCCGATCATCTGAGCGCCCCCTGATTGCCTTGGTCTTGGCGTTGGCGTACAATTTAAAGTCGTCGGCACACTGCGGCCTCCTCTTTCTCAACAAGTCCCTCTATTTCTTCTGCAGCGAGGGCGATTTCGTCAAAATACTCCTACATCGCGAAGCCTCGTGCGCAGACGCAGTCTTCGGGGCGCTCGCTGCGCCAACTCTTGACGCCAACTGACGGGCTCCAAATGGAACAGATGGACTCCGAAACGAACGTGGGAATGCCGACACATCATCCCTCCAAATTTACAGAGGAGGAGATGTCCCTGACAGCCCATTTGCAATAGGGGTCACTTTTACACTATAGACGTATGGGGAATTCGACCTTATCGACATGGTACTACGAGGTCAGCTGATCTGCTTGGCATTTAAATCGTAGTAAAACGGGCATTTAAACGCTGCGAAACAACTTACGTACAACGTAGCTCCGATTTGCCGCTCTTTCTTTTTCATCCCTCCGATTTTCTTCCGATCAAGAGAAGTTTCGTACCGAGAGAAGTTTCGCAGCCACGTCCGATATAACTTACGATAGCACGGATCCCCCCAGCCTTAGTTAGTAGGCGTAAGGCGAGCCGCCGCGCCGGACGGAACTGCACGGTGGAGTGCGGCTCGCCGGCGGCGGAGGCGCGCGGTGGAGGGAGGGTTAGGAAGGGGGCGTCACGCTCCCTGGCAGCGGCCGGGGAGTAAATGAGACAGCGGCCGTGCACCGTGCGCTCCGCATAGTAAGTGCCGCATTCGACCATCAGAGGGCACCGAGCGTCAGAAGACTGATGTGGAGTGATTGAGAGTCTCGTCTCCGACCTGTTGGTATCCGGTGACGACCGTACCGCGAGTCGAGACTGATAGGTATCCAATATCGTCCAATGGGAGGCTGACCGAGTATGGTATAATTGATGCTAGGACGCCCGTAGTTACAAGTAAGGCTGGGTTTGTGAACCGGGCCAACCGAAGTAAGTTATTGTCTTCGGTGTCTAATTCGTTCGGCTTCGGCATATGTACAAGATGGTGTTATCATTGATGAAACAATCGAAATTTCGCGTCACTTATCGTTGTCAACCGTGTGATAGTGATTTTTCCCCGCTTGGAGTATTGGTTTCCAAAAGAAAGTTACTCTGAATCACATTTGATTCATCGAGTGATTATAAGTCCACGTCAGCCGTACTGTGTGTAATTGTATCCAAAGTAGGTAGATCACTGTTAGTACTGGAGTAGTATCACGCAAAGGTGAAAGTGCCGCGGTGGTGCGGCGCGCCGCTATGCTCGCTGGTTAAATCGGCCACCGGTCGTGACCAGCGACTGCGCGCTGCCGACCGCTGGTGAAGGGCCTGTTAGCTGGCTCGTGGTGGGTGCGGCCAGTCAGAACATATGCCAGAGTCCAATATTGAATGGTTGTAAAAATAGGACCTGAGCCGAAGTCATCCATCATGAGGACGTTTTTTCGGCATTGACCTGTCAGTGAGTATGCATGCGTTGCAGCTGCATTTAGAACCAAAGGAATAAAGCTGCGATTTAGTATCACGAAACGTTCACCTCTATTTTGGTCGCTAAAAGTCAGTCTCTGGACTTGAATGAACTAACGTCCATCGTGCTAAGAAAATGTGCATTGTTTTTTTTCTGTGGCCGCTATCCACGAAAAAGAAGGTTCTGTGTTCTGGGAGTACATGCTGTGATCCCTTTTAACTATAGATGCTTGTCCTCAAAATATATTCCGGCTATTCTGGGAGGAACTAGAAAGTTGCTAACTTATGGAGAATGTCGTTCCGGCTGTGGAAGGATATTATGCGTTCTGTCTGGTAGAATGTTAAGTGCCCTCTGGATGGATGTCGTTCATGTTTTGTGAGAATGTCTTGTGCGAGCGAATGTCTGGATGAAATGAATGTCTCTTATGCTGTTAAAGGATTTTTGATAAATTCTAGTTACAATATGATGCAGGTTTAGGAGGATGTCCTGCATGTTCTGCGGTACGTTTTCCGCTCCAGCGCTGGCCGCTCTCGTGCCGTTAGATGTCCGGGAGGCGCCATTCGGGTCTCGGCGCCCGGCCCGTGTCGCGTGTCGACTGTTTGGTTATACAGCCGCGGTCTATGGCGGATACAGCTGTATTCTCAGCATGGAAACCCCCGGCTGGACTTCTGCCGTGTTGACAGGGATGTCACCTAGTCAGCAGCTTATTACGGCCCTCCGACTTCCCGGCAGTGATTGGCCCCGTTCGTGCGGCGCGCACGCACCGCTACCTGCCGTCGCTTCAGCGGTACATTTTACAAACACGCTCTGTACAATACTGTGATATCAATCTACAGCTTCAACGAAGAAACATAGTACTAGCACACTGTATATGGACTGTTGAAAACTTTTTGGAGGCGCATATTAAGTTTTTCTGTCGTTATCAGCAATCTTGCCCATTGTATCTAAAGGAGGATTTCACTCTATTGCTATTTTATCGTCCCGAACACAAAATAATCGGCTTCACTGTTAGGACACGCGGGTGCAGTGTTTCTGGAACCGGGCGCCAGTGACAAATGTGTGTTGGCTTTCCTGTCGACACGTTGTATGCCTTCTGCAGTGGCTGCAGGGTACCTCACGGTCCAATTGTCACTTAGTCTAACCGACTTACGGGCCTTCTGGCTTCAGTCACGAGTCCTAAGAGACTGACTTTACCGTCTCATATGCGATCCTTTGCGCCTCACAGGCCCTGGCCGGTATAGGCGTGGTTGACTGGTGGCGCGTCAGACCGACACAAGTGATGAGCAGGTGTGTTACCGGCCGACATCTCTGCGTGACGGGAAGACGGGCTAAAGCGGTGAAGCGCAGCGCTCTCTGACGGGCCGGCATGAATCGACTGTGTGATGGGAAGACGGTGCGGCGGTATACCGCGTGACGGTCCGACACCGAAATAACGAGCGGCTCGTCGATGTGCCTTTACCGGAAGTGAGCCGTTTCCGGTGTGAGCGCGGTGTCGACGTCTGCTGCCGGTGATTTGACGCCTTAGTGAACGCTGTCAGTGAACCGAGTAAAGACAGACGAGATGAATAGACGTGCTACTGAATCGATTCGGAGCCCTTACGACGGCACTCCTTAGTGACGGGCGTCAGTGAAATGGTCTGGCTGGATACTTTACATATTCGTACCTACTGAGCTAAGTTAACTTTATGAAAAGAGTGAATTTTTAAACTTTGGTTGTGTTTTTTTTTACTAAAAGCCTCGCACTTTTGTGTTTTATTGCATGAGTTTATTCGTTCAAGAGAAAGCTACGAGCATACCTAGCCCGCTAATGACGGGCTCTCAAAAGCACCTATCCGCCGCTGACAGGCGTGGGCGTTCGCGATGGGGTGCGGCACCCGTCGAGCCCAGAGTGCTCACGGCCGCACGACTGAAGGTGACTCCTGCTCTGGAGAGGGGAGCACCGGACCGGCAGACCTCCAGTTCGGACCGGACTAGCAGACCGGCGCCAGACCAGATGGGCTGATTCATCGCCTGGCTGCACGCCCGCCTGACCCGTCACATCCAACAAAGAAGCTCAAAAAGTAATCCGATATAACACTGCACCTCTCCGAGACCACAGAAAATCGGCTCACCTGCATTATTCAACAAAACGCGAGCCGCGAATCTGCACCACAAAGAATAGATTGAGCGTGCCGCACGGCTGTGCTAAATGTTGCGGGCCGTTTTTACGAATACAGCGTGCTGGTCTGCCTGACTGGCTCCTGTGGGAACATGTCGGCGGATGGACCTCGGAATGCATGCGCACAGTGGCGTCACTCGGGCTCCGTGGTCGCGTGACCTCGTGTATGGGCGATGACAGTCCCACGCACGGGGCTCGGCACACCTGTACGGCGTGATCAGCGGAGCGTGCACCGGCTAGACGGGCCAGTTTTAGGGCTGTTTTACGGGACACCAACTGTCCGCACTGACTGGGAACTGTCCTTCATCGACTGGGCTGGGATATGTAGCCGAATCCTAACTGGTTGTAGTTTTCTGTATCACGTCGCTATCCCCATCCCCGTGAGGCTGTCAGTGAAGCATCCACACCTCAATTCAACTCCCTTACTGCCTTGCCTGTTCTGGTCTGACGTTCACTGGTCATGCCACTCCTACTCTTGCCGTCGCTGGACCACTGTGACCATTGGTCACGACCCAGGCCCGATTACCGCCGGCCGTGGTGGCCGCGCTCCGTCTGACAGAGCCAGTCTGGAGTCAGAACAGCAGACACGTCACGCGCCGCCTGTCACCACACCAGATCAGGCCACTTCGCCGAAGACGCAGACTGACGATTAAGACGCAGGATTAGCGTGTAAGTCTGTACTGGAGAGAACAGCTTAAAGACGGCGGCAGCAGGCAGGGCACGGTGCAGCCCACTTTGTGTTTTGGGGAACTCTGCTCCTTCTCTGTAAGGGGCCATGGGTGGTAGCGCGTTCAGCGTGAGTGGGGTATCAGTGTGCGGGGGTCGGCGGTCGGCCGTTTACCCCTCAGACAGAAGACCGGGTCGGGAGAGGGGGAGGGGGACAGGTGGCCGGAAACCACGCGACGCCGGCTGTTCGCGGACCTGCCCTCCTCTCCCCTCCCCACCCTCCCCTTCCCGGATGGTGCACGACCGTCCGGCGGGCCACAGAAGCGGCTTGCAGTCGGAGGAGTAGCGAGATATTTCTCTGTCACGGCCGCGCCCCGTATCAAAACGAGACTTTATGTTGCAATTGGTAACTGCTAAGATGTTGCTGACTATCGAGATCGTTTGTTTGCAAGAAGTGTTTTTTTTTTGCTCTTTTATGTAGTGCCAGTCATGAAGCCCCTTTCAAGTAAAGATTAAGGTCACGACTCACGAGCTAACAATTAATTATGCCGCTTCGCAGTGCTTGAAGTTAGCATTGAATTAGGCTACCAGATAGGACTCGGGAGACAGCCAAGATTTCTAAGACAAAAAATCGTCCTTATCCGTTCCCTTAATCGTCTTCGAATAAATTCCATTCATTGTAAACATATCTAAATGTCAATCCTCCAACATTCCCATCATTTAATCTGCTCTAACAAAGTCGCCTGCATACTTTTATCGCGTTTCGTTTGTAAGGAGAGCCCTGTTTGATTGAGTACGGCGGCCCAAGGCGACCCAGGCTGTGTCACTGACCTTTGCACGGGCACGCTGATTTCGACCTCATATACACCGTCTGGACTGGACTGCCGCTTCAGGCGCCTCTGGTGATTCCCTGTCAACACACAGGAGGAGGGGAAGATCGTCAGCACTGTCGCCACACACTTAAATATCGCTCGGCGGAGACGGGGTGTCGCAGAGGACCGTCGTATCATATCGTGCGGCGGTAGTTTACATAAGCTGCCCATCCCACACACACATACTCGGACAGACGCACCTTGAAAAGCGAGGTTTCAGATTTGGGGACAAACTATGTACTTCAGCACACCTTACAAAAGTATCCTGTTTGAATGGTGTTATCAATAAAAGGACGTATTTCTGCCTTTCATAATGGCATGCATACGTCATGCTCTCTATATATCGCATGGGATGGGAAGCTACCTGCCGTAGATTCCGATACAGATACAAAGCTTAGCCGCTTCTGGTGTAATTCCAGAAATGCAGTGAGACTGCTGAGACTTTTCGTGTCCGAGAGAATGAGGCAACGAATCCCGGATTGTCTGGAAGGAACACAAAGAACACCACGAGAAATAATTTTGGCGTACTTGTGAAACGCCCGAATCGCGGACGTGCCTTTGGTTTGTCTGTGTTCCACTAATGCCTCGCCGCTGACGTGTACGATTTCACATCGTAGTATGAGTATTGTCGGACGGTAGCGAGTTTCCACACATTCTGGGGCAGATGTACACGAATTTAGACTCTAAACAATCGCCGGCCACGCATGCCACGGCAGGGCATCCACGCTTGTCGAATCGCTGGGCTCCGAGATGTGCGTCCAGCCGCCAGCTGCCACTGTGGCCACCATGGGAGCGGGCGGGGCAGCGTCGGGTGGGGCTCCCAACGGCAGTCCGGCTGGGAAGGCACACTTTTGACCAGACCGACTCACAGAATATAGCGCGCACTGACACAGTTTACTCAGCACCCCCGCAGTTGTCTGCTCGGACACCCAGCCTGGGAACCATGCCAGTCGCCAGCTCGGCGTCAGGTGGCCTGGCTATATTCCACTTCAATAGACCGCTCAATTTATATGGTAATGACCGTATATGAATGTAAATATCTAGTCGTATTTCAACACCTGTGTAAGTGGCACGCTCGATGGAAAGTGCAGGCGATAAACACTTTCATCGTCCGTATGAATAAGGGCTGACTGGCGAATTCCGCACTGATTGTATCGTCAGCGAGGCGTCTCTGGCGTCGTCACTCCATGTATGACGTCACACGCCCTGACGATGCGACGTGGAAAGGCCGCCTCATTGAACTGTGACTGTGACTGACTGTGATTGGCCTTTTGACTGTGACTGTGCCTCTGATTGCCGCCTCTCGGGTCGGTCGGCCCGTCGCCGGTCGCGGGCGGCGAGCCCCGGCCGCCGAGGGTTGGCCGGGCGCCGGTGGGCGGTCGGGCTAATACCACAACACGGCTCGGCGACAAAAAGCATCGCTTTCACCGGCTCCGACCTTCATCTGGCCGGCTCCGCCAGCCGCCGGTACCGCGGCCCGGATCGGCCGGCGGGGGCACATCGCAACACGCCGCTCATATGATGAGAGGGTGTACTTCTGCCATTGTAGGGGAGCCAAACGAGCGGCTTATTAAAACCGTGACACGGTGCCATGGGAGCCGTGACCATCCTAAGAGTTCCTTTCGAAACCGTTCGTGGCTTAGTGACTAGAATCCCACGACGAGCTACAATCGTATAGGGGAGAGTGGGGTAATTTGGCCGGTGGTGTAAATTGGCCGCCCCCACCTGTACGAAAGCTGATAAAAGTGAATGAAATAACTTTAGTCTCTATTCATTTGTCATCGGCAGAACTAACTCGAGAACAAATGTCAAAACTTCCCCCTATTAGTTTTATTCAAAATTAATAAAACGTGAATTTCGTTAGAAAATGGTAACTTTCACTTCCGTTTAAAAATTTGTATAACATGTAGTATTTGGGCTGTAAACGAATTCCAACATTATAGCGCCATTCTTGAGCGTGTTCAGCGGTTTCAAGAGCAATTTCATCTAGTTTTGTACAGCCATGACCACATTATAGACAAAAAATTTCAGAATGGCAATGTGGGGTTATTTGGCCGGGACTAGCGGGGCAACTTGGCCGGTGCGCTCAGAGTCACTATGCTGGGACGGCCGAGTTGTCATGGTCAATTATACCATAAAGGACATAATTCATGACCAACTTTGACTACCTTGATGCCATATTTCCTATTGGACAGCTGTATGGGCATGTGACGTCATCAAAGGTTACCTAACGCTTTTTTGCTAATAAATACTTACAGAAAAAAGATACAGCCGCGCAAATGGTCTCATTGTGTTCAGCTCGTCAAGGCGCATCGAATGATATACATGATGACCTTGAACTCACGCAACCTTGAGGTCAAGCGACCTGAGGTAACGTGACCTGAAGCAAACCTTTGACCTTGACCTCTCGAGGTCAACACATACATGTTTCGATGCGGAATGACGAGAGAATTACGATGGTACTTTTAGTTTTGGCCTAGCTTGATTACTTCAAAAGCTATTCGTAAAAAACTGTCATCGCATCTAGAGCCGCTATTTTGACTATTTTCGACCCCTGTGACGGCTGAGGCAACCTCCAAAATGCTTCAAATGCGTCGTAGGACACGCGTCATTGCTGAATGTGAAGCTGACTCGCCTATAACAAAAATCATGGCCTCAAACTAACACCGGCCAAATTGCCCCACACCCCCGGCCAAATAACCCTGCTAGTGGGGCAATTTGGCCGCTTTGCAGACCTTTGTAATACGTCACAATTTCAATATAAGTAGTTACTCTATCATTTCAAGCTTACTGTCCAGGAAAGTAAAATGTATGCCACAGCTGTCAGCGTTGAGAAAATGCAGAAATGTGTTGTCGATTTTTAGTTACATCGTTTTCTAAAAAAAGCGGCCAAATTACCCTACTCTCCCCTACTCGACTGTGCCACAAACAAGCTATCGTATATAATTGTCAAACTTTATACCTTTACCTTTTACAATGCATCTTGCTCATTTATGCAGGCCTGCTATTATACATTAAACGAGAATAGCTTGCATTGCATTTTCTGTTTGTAACCACATGATATGTAAATGTCATGACACGCATTTTGTTGTGACATTTCAGTGCTGCACTGCACTGCAACTGCAATGGCACCATTTCGCCTTTGTAGTAAGGTTTGATAGTCCGGGCATAGTATGCAGTAAACTGCAGGCCATGTTTCGCCCGCTGGGGTCCCATGGCCTCATGGCGTGTGGAAATGCAATGAAGAAATAGGCAGGCAGCACAGGCTGACTGCAATGACGGCTACAGGGTGGTGGTGGCGGATATGATCTCGTGTGTAAAGATGGAGAAATTACAATTGGTCGTTTTAACATGCGACTCGGCTCTCTCGCCACACTACGTGTGACTGGTGTGAGAGATGGAATTGTAGGCTGGTATTACGGGAGTAAAGGAACTAATAATTCGATAGACGTGTTATGAAAATTGTTTTTAAATCTTATTCCAATATAGCTTTGTAAAAATGAAGGGTTCCTGAGCCAGAACGATTACCTACAGAGATTAGTAGACAGTGTGCTTGATTTTTGGCATTAAGTTTGTCATACTCCCGCCTATTTTGATCAAGTACATTTATTGGCCAATGTTCCGTCTACTATGTAATTTTCCTAGTTTATTACCAAATTTAGGTACGCCTGGCGTCGCTGCTATCCTCGTTAGTTATTAAGCACAGCGTATCCACTGCCCACCTACCACATAATTTGTGCGTGCTGGTTTCGAACAATTGGTGCATCCGGCTTGGAAGGGGGTGTTTTGGACCGTGTCATCCAAAGCCCAGAAACCTGGCCATACACAATACCAATCTTGGATGGAGTGAACAATGAAAGGATGGGTCGGACTTTATAAATGCCTGTCGATTGTGTTAACACGCGCACCGACGGGGGGCGGATATCCGCCCCCCCCTGAGTTTTTTTTCGCGAATAGCGGGAAAACCGCGGCGCGTAGCACCGCGAAATTTGGTACGACTATTCTCTCATCAATTTTACACATGGTGTGCAAGTTTGAACCTCCTATCTTTTAAGGTCAGGTCACCAGGTCACTTTGAATGACCCAACCTCAAGTCACTTTTTGCAACTTTGTCACCGTGCCAGAGCTACAGTAGATGCCGGAGGCCTTTGAAAGTCGCAGGATGTTATAAGGTCATTAGTAGCTACAATTTTTATATCTCGGAATTTTGATATCGATGACCTAAGGTCAGGTCAATTTCTCGACCTCCCCATTATAAGTCAATGGGGGGAAAATCAACTCCCTGTTTTCAGGGCTGGGAAATCTCTCATACTTTCATACCCCAGTAGGTAGCAGATACCGCTTTATTGTTCCATCAATTGTAGCAAAATCAACATTTCTCTCTTCCGTACATCATAAAGAAAAATACAATAAAAACATCACAATTCGCACATTTTTTAAAATAAAGGTACCACCAGCCAGTGATCTCGTCGGCGAATAAGAACAAAACATCTGTAAGACTAACACAAGTTCAAAACGTCAGCTTTGTGCTCCATTTTATGACTAATCTGGCGGCTCTTTGTAGCAGTTTCCATTGTAGCATCACTAATTCTTCATACTCTGAGTCGTGTAACAAAAGGTATCTGCTACGCCTTTTTATGCGCTATCTTTCTTATGAATATTGCAAAAAGGAGTTTCATTATTTGTGAGATATTCAAATGACATATTTACGAAACAAAACAAATTGTTTTTAAAAGGGCATTGTTCAATGATCAATTAAAATACGAAAAGAATCAACTCATTCTGCCCATGGCATCTCTAAAAAGCCATCTTTTATGATACAGTGTCCTGCAACGTCTTTAATCCTTTTTGATGACGTCATACACAATTTTATGCAGTTTTTAATGTATTTTATTGTTGAAACCATACTTATTTGAACCAAATTAGAGCTTAAAAAAACTAATGAACATTTTTTGTAAGTTTTATTAAGAAATTTTGTCAAAAATATGCAAATAACGTCATTACTGTTTGTGTATTTTGTTGATGGACTGTTTCTGGC